GTCTTGAATTTAATTGTCGTGGCCAACCTTGGTATCACTACTGCTCCTGTAGAGCTGTCCGGCTGAACCGATCCGTCAGTGTAGATATGTGTGGATTCTTGATATTTCTCATACAAGAGAAGTAGTGTGAGCTGTTTAAGAGCCGGTGACGACAAATTGGCCTTTTTCTGGACGCCAGGTATGTTAATATTAATCATTGGTTGAGCGAGGCACCATGGCAGAATCACAGGTCTAGCGGCAGGAGAGAACGAAGTTGGGATCGACTCACCATGTGCGGTCACTGTTTTGCAGTAAGATGTGCATGGTCGGACCACTGGTAGAGAGGCTAGGTGATGTGCGAAGTGTTTGACGATGTACGCGACGTGATTGTGACTTTATTCATGTCTTGACGAGCGCGTGATATTCGTCAAACCATCTTACCCACCTGTGCTAATTTTGGTTCATGCCAAATTAAGGGGGTGACCACGAGAGCACGTAAAAGTAAGCGGCTAGATGGATGGATAGATAGATAGATAGATAGATAAATAGATAGATAGATAGATAGATAGATAGATAGATAGATAGATAGATAGATAGATACTCTCAAAGTCGCCGAAGTTCGCTAAGAATTCTTCGCATATAAAAGGCGCGTAGTAGGTTTAGGGCGTGAGAAATATGTCTAACTTGTGACATGAGCGCTGTCACCTCTCAAGCACATTTCTCTGCGCTTGCTGTAGGGGTCTTTCAGCGTGCACATAAACTCGTATACTGACGGGTAAATCACGGTGAGCTGGAGTCCAGGATCGGTGATCGTTGATGCAAAAGCCACGATGGTGAATCTTAGACTGACCTACGAGAAAACACTGAAAACCCAGACCTTGCTGCTCTTATTATCATGCTTCACGTGATTCATGATGAGCCATCCGAAAAATGGAGCTTGTTCACAGCAGCACTTCAGTGCTCGATATGTAACTTACGCCGTGGACCGTACGATTAACTATTGTGTTAGAATTTACAGGGCTAATCAATGACCTCTTCTAGTGTAGACACACTACATTTCAGTTCCTCACAAACAGCTGTGGCATTCTGGGCAACGAACATGGCGATGCAGCTACTAGACCTGCAGATAAAATTACCTAGAAGCAGTGGTGGAAACATTTATTGAATAATGTGTCTGGTTAAGTGGGTGACTGGCCCCTGCGACTCGCTGGGCTTGGTCAAGCATATCCAGCAAAGCAGATTCAATTACATTCGCAGGAACAGATGCTGCGATTACAATTCTTGAGGTTGGTGGTGAAGCCATGCAGCCTTTATAAAACACACCAAGTTTACAGCACACATGACTTCACCAAAAGGAAGCGCCTTGTCAACTTCAGCCCTTTTGTGAGCTCTCTCGACTTAGGACAACGGAGCTTGGCCTACTGTGTCTTGTTGTTGCTTTCACCAGAACTTCTGACCTCGGAATCGGAATGAATGAATGCGCTGCTTGCCACCATATCGGCAGCGAAAAAACTGTTGAAGAAGACGTCATTTGTCGCTGTACTTTTACTGTTACCTGTAAGGATGGTCTAGTTTTATGGTGCTCGATTGATGACCCCAATGCATCGAGATAGAAGCTTGGCCGCGGTGGCCAAATTTTCGGTGGAGCGAAATTGCTTTCAAGCCCATGAAACTGGATTTGGGTATACGATTAAAAACCTCAGTTTGTCAGAACTTTCACAGTTCTCTAGTACGGCATCTCTTCGAACAATGTAGTGGCTTTGAGACGTTACATATCAACAATTGTCAATTATTCACTGGCGGAAAGGTGGCCGCTTATGGCCGTGTCAGTCCGTCTTGAAGACAGGCTCCTCTCGGAATAGACAGGGTTCGAATTCTGAGCGAAATTGTTGTTACCAGAGAAATTTATTATGGCTTTAATAATTTTTTCAATGGTAGTGGCATATCGGCATAATATAATACTACCGCTACTCACCATTCCTTATTTTCTTTCTTGCTGACAGGTGGTGCCATCGCACCACCTTTTTTATTTTTTTATTCCAGTCTAATGCGAGCGTTGCATGTTCAAGCGTTTGCCTCCCCCCCTCCCCCCGCCCATCTCCCCGTTCAGCGTAGCGAAACGCGATGGAACTTTACGCGAGTAGATGTGGCGCTCGAGCCTATGCGATACCTGGGGGCGGGGCAGCTAGTGCTCCGGGAGCGGTTGCATACCGCTATCCAATGCGTGTGACCTCGATTTTTCTCAACCTATGATGCAAGTTTTCCTATTGAGCTTTCACAGTTTCGTTGTTTCCTCAAACAGGATTTTATCGTTCTCGTTTTTACGACACCCCGAGATCGTTCTCCTGCATTACGCGATGCATTGTAGCATTCTGTGGACGTGTTCTAGGCGTAAGTGATGATTGCTGTACCTTGTACAGCATATGCATAGGCGGTCGCGTGTGCCCGAAATATTGCAGTGTAGCCGAGTTTTACTCTGCTTTAAGAAACGAAACGACGTGAACTCCGAAACGATGCTTCAGATAACCTAAGGTTTTTGAACCTTTCTGGGGCAACGCGCACAGGCTTCTATCAGTGCGTTCATCGATCTCACCCTTTCACGCACCGGCGCAGGAGATACGTTAGCTCTCATGCGAGTAGCGAGCGTTCCAAACAGTATTGAGGAAGCTTCCTTGAAAGATTTACGGTACATCTGAAACGTGAGCGGGAAACGAGGCATACATTGTACAATATCTAAAGTATGGGATATCGATTCCTTCGAATGCCATCAGGTGCCGCTTCGTGCTACAAAACGAGTGGATGCTCACTTACCCTATCACCAAAAACTGTCTTAATTTTGTGTACGAAACACGCATAAGTGCATTCGTTTTTACTACGGTTTACTAGCTTTCTTCGCGATACTACTGCGAAACTGCGAATACCAATTTTTTGAAGCTTAGGACTGAGCAATTTGCAACAACAACAAAAAAGGAAGTCCTGTGAATCTTAACTGTTACCTGACGTGCTGTTCTAGTAATTACGGTGCTCTACTGTCGACCCAGAGATCGCGGGCTTGAACCCCGGTCGGTGGCAGTGGCCTCATTTTGGATGCAGGCAATAAATATTCAGGCCGTCGATTCTTCGATTTCGACGCACGGTAAAAATTTCCGGGCGGCCGAAATTTTCGGAGGCCTCCATTACGGCGTCTCGCGTGATCATATTGTAGTTTTGGGATGTTAAACCCCCCAAAATTATATTGACCTTTACTGTTTGGTGTGAATGTGTTCTTTTAATGTGGGATTGAAACACACCTTGAAGAGATCAGCCCATTTATTTGGCTCGTTGCGCCATTTTCTCAACTTTACTTTTTGCAAAGTTGGTTATCTAGCTCTGCAGTAAGCTTTCACCACTGTGTTCTCTCTTTAAAACTCCCTCGCCTTTCTGCTTGTGTATAGGGTAGCATAGCGGTCCTTCTAAACTGGTTATTAACCCTGCTTGTTTTTTCCCCGTTCTTTCCTCCCTTTCACAGCTGTGTGCTTTCGTATGAGCGAACAAATCATCTTAGACAAGAGAATCACGGCATTCTTGTCTACATTCGTTCGATAGTGAGGGAGAGTGAGTAATACAAAATGCTATTGTTTTATTATGACAACATAATGTACTATTATTCAAGGTTAGCGTATGTTAAGAAACAAAGAAATGGAGGTACATGCTCGGCAAAAATGATTTCTGACCAAGAAGATATGAGGGAAGCATGGTAACACAAGCTCGCACCGTTTCACGATGCGTCATCAGGGTAACAATATCTCTCCTATAGAGCTATTTCTCGCCAGATGAACGTTTTTGTAATACAGCTACGATGACAACTGAATTTCGTTCAATGAGTGGCATCCATTAGGCTTCCATTAATATTAATGACATTGATTAGGTCTGCAGCGCTGCCGCGCACGGTTACTAAAGCTTTAACGAGCGGACCACTCAAACTATTTTTCAACAATTAACCGAAATGAGAGACGACGCTCCTGGCTCACATAGTGTAAGCCTGCTTGCTGATTCTTGTCACCCCTCTTCTAAGGGGCGAATCGCCTTAGCGTGTAGGCTTGCCCGTTGTCCGTTGTCCGGCGCAGCACATGCAAGGTACCCGCTATATGCCCACCGTATGTCCACCACATCACAGCACATTAGATGCACGCACTACACGTCCACCTAAATTTGATGAATTAGAGAGTCGCCCACTATGCCGATGTGGCATTCGTCAGTCTGCTGATAAGTGAGGTATGCGCTGTGGACTGTACGTACACAAAGAAAAACAGGACGCGGCATGTGTAAGCATGACGTCACTGACTGACAAATAAAAGGGATAATGAGCAAGTGATTAGAATTGGTGAATGATAAGTGCAAGAGATTGTTAAACGTCTTCTTATTTTGCTGTATACTGTACATTTCATGCACAGCAGCAAATAAAATTCAATCGTGAGTCAGGCTCATGCGTGTGCCCGTTTTATCCCTGTCTTTTCGCGCTGCTTTTTTGTTAGAATGCTACCAAACCAACTAGCCCACCACTTTCATCAACAAATTTATTGAGTAGCTTTGTTTGATTCTTAGTTATTGTGCCGTGTGTGGCACAAAGAACGGTTCTGAGATTCGAAGTGTCTTTGCACACGTTAAGGAAGCTATGGTGATATGTAGAGCAGTGCTCAGTTGTTTGTGTTGAACAAACAAGAAGATTTTATTGAATGTGGCACGTTCAATAGGGCGAGTTCAAAAATTACATTGCACAAATTAAGCTAACACGTGTAGGAATTGCTGTAGTGTTGTAAATTGGGAATCTTGTTTTCTGGGTGCACTGAGCTTGCACTGCGCGCTTGGGAAGAGAAAAGTGCACTTGCGAGGCGTGCGCTATCGTGGTATGCATTTACGATATGGCAAACGGCGCAAACAAAAGCATGATTACGCCATGCATCCTCCTACACTGATAGGGAGTCTTGACTTAGAGACTCCTAGAAACGTTGAAAAGGTCAGCACTGGTAAACGTCTAAGTTACACGTTGGGCAGCTGGCCACCGGCCGGACTCAAGCGAAATAATAAAGACTCACTAGGGCTGGTGTGGACTTCAGTAGCAGGCTCGCTCTCGCACAATGAACACCACTCGCTGAAAGTTTCAACGGGACACGATGGCACTCTTTCTGGATTAGTGTTCAACAATAGACCAAGTTCGAAGACCACTTGTGTGAAGTTGAATCGTACTTGCAAATAAAGATAAGGTGAGTTGGTTTTCTCTCTTTTGGATTTATTCTGAGTGTAATTTTGGGTTTTTAGTGCAATTTAGGTGGGGAGTGCATTGATACAAGTGTGCTAGTTGCTCTGATTATATCTTTTCTTTTCAAGTTTTTTTTTCATTTCACAAATACTTCACTGCGCAACGCGTATGCTCCGGTTGGGCATTTCGTTTGCCTAATTCTGCTAATGGTAACTGACAACATAGTTCACAATGAGACTATTTCACATATTCAGAGTAATTCGCACTAAAGTACTGCTGACTGTGCGAGCTGATGCATGATCAAATGATATTGCTTTAGCGCAACTCAGTTTGAGCGTGAAGGAAAGATAGTATGCAGTCAATACAAAAAAAAAAAAAAAAACAGACGACAGGGTGAGCGCTAACTTCCAACTTTTGTTTAATGTGTACCCTTACAACACATTATATAGCTCAACTCATAATGCGTTGTAAGAGTACGCAATAAACAAAAGTTGTAAGTTAGCGCTCAAACTGTCGTGTGTTTATTTCCCCTTCTTGACTGCATGGTATCTTTCCTTCACACTCAAATTGGGCTGCGCTAAAGCAATTTCGCACTAAAGTATTTGTACGCGATGGCGTTCAAGAGCCCGTGTTATAAAAAAAATACCACGTTAGCATTGGTGGCCTTACCTCTGAAAGAAAAATACGTATTCCTCGTGAGCCGAAAATCCCGACAGATGCAAGTAATAAAAAACCTGCTGGGTTCGAGCCGCATTCAAACGCAGACATTCTGGGTGGCTGTCAAGAGTTCTACCTCAAAGGTGCGCTGATGCTGGAAAGGGCTGTCGCAAAGTACAATACGAAGATGTGATGTCGGGCGAGGAGACTCATTAGCAGGCATGGCACTGCTTGGCAGAAGCGCATTTCACCACTCTTTCACACCATGCGGACTGAATAACAAGTGAGGGATCTAATGCGGCGCGCCCTTTACAGAGAGCTCAACCATATTCCATCATATACGCTGCCGCATCAAGATAGTGTGAACCTGCGTACGTGCTCGAATTGGAGGCCGTTCGTACAGTGGACGCTACGCTACTTCGCTAAGTGGTTAATAACAAAGCACAAGGTACCGTTGGTTTGAAACTGTACTTGCATTAGGCACTCTGTGAAAGTTTGCCACGCGCACACACGCTCTTTCCCTACCAGCACAATTGAGGTGTCTACGCAGAAGCAAAGCGTGGCAAGCTTCTGAAATATTCAATGCGAACGTGGCCCGAAATGCCGTCGCATGCAATTCTTATTTGATCAGCTGTTGGCTCTTGCTGGATACAGTATCCGATATTTTTCTTGGCCCTTGTTGCTAGGAAGGAATGTTAGTTGTCACTATAAATGAACGTGGCTTCTGTGAACCGTGCAATGGATCGGCCTGATTAGAGCGTCACAAGACGCCTGGGAGGTGTCATTTGACGCTGAGTTTGGGTGACATTGCGTTCTGAGAACTGTCATTTGAAAGAAGTCAAGTAGTTTGCACTTATCTTTTGCGCTTGCCGCTTCGGGACGTGTTCTAGGTCGGCGGGTATTTATTGCATCTTGAGGCAAGATGTTTCAGCTGACAGCGTACGTTTTGTTGACGCAATATCGTTAAAGAGCCCGGGTGGTAGAGTGTGTAACCAAAAATCAAGAACAAGAGAAACTCAAGAAATAAAGGCATAGAAAAATTGATAGAAAGAAAGAGAAGGAAACGGACACGAAAAAAAACCAGAAAACGTAGGGGAAGAGAATGCCAGTGACGTTTTCCATGAGGCTAAAATTCCGATGCATTTTAGAGATGAGCTGGTTTTCAACTGAATTGAAACTTGGAAGTGAAGTGTTGTGTTGAACATTTACGCCAGATAGCCACGACAGTATTCCAAAATGCTTCGGATAAAGACTTCATGCAGGCGTGCCATGGCGGAGTTGCTTTGGAGATCATTATGGCATCACAGAAGCGCACACAGTCGCGAAAGGCGACTGTGTGCGCTTCTGTGAGCACGGGAGTCGCGAAAGAAGTGGGTGGATTCCTGTTGCCCACCCATTGAGCAGTGCTCAGCCCTAGTCATTCATCACCGTCATCAGTCACATCATCGACAATGTCAGCCGATACGCAGGCTCATGTGCATAGTTCGCAAAACGATGAGTAATGGCGAAGTGGGTACTTGGCAACTGTGCTTCCTGCAAGCACCCTTGTAGAGTTCGCAACGGGCAATACGGCATGCGCAGACCCTCTGTTGTTAACGGTGTGGTTGCCTCCAATGAGAGACGACCAATGGCAAGTAAATGAGAAAGCGAGGCGAATAGGGCCCGAAGGCGCTGTCCTGTTCAAATCTTGAAAGATGAGGGTGAGAGCACCCTGCTAGACCTTGCTCAATCAAATTCTTTTAAGCAGATTGAATAAGTGTGTGGCCAACTACAGCACGCTGAAATGTTGGAATAAATTGAGAGATTCTTCCAGATAATATGCGCGGTACACGACACAGCAGCCTAAAAGAGCTATCACGGGCTCAACATGATCAAATATTCAAGGTGCCAGGAAGCTCCTTTCCAAGTAGTCGGTCAAATGGCCACAGTAAAGGAGTTTTTCGCATCGCAAATTGATTGTCATGAAAGATTGCCGGATACTTCAAGCACGAGCGGAGTTAACGATATTTTTCGTCTGCTTTGAACGCTCTCACTCTCGTTTGGTATCGACGAGCGCACCAGAATAAAGCAAGGGGGGATGGGTGCTATGTAGGAAGGAAAAATAAAAGAGGGAGCATTCTGTCATGCGATTGGAGGCCCCCGTGTCGTCCCAACACTTGATGAAAACGTCGGAGCGGGTGGTGCGGGTGGAGCGGGTGGTGCGGAGCGGGTGGCTTTAATTAGTACTCCCGGTGGCGTGCCGTTTATGAAGCTTCTCCATAAGCCGGCCAGTCTGCGCCGAACAAGCGTGCTTCATTTAAACGCTATCGGGCGTTATACCACAATGTCTCGGCTAACCTCATTTCTACGTGGTATTGCCGCTCTGCTAGCTTCACTCTGCTATCTTCAAGACTGGTTGGTTTGCCAAGGCTCACTGCGCGACGTAATACTCCATGCTTTCCTTTTTTTTTCTTCCGTTATGGAGGGCACTGGCGAAAAATATTACGTCAGCACACGTCATCATCTTCAATGAACGCGTTGAAACGCTTTTCCCCATTGCGATACCTGTGCACAAATGTGGCTCAATGTGTAACGTTCGCAAACTATGGAGTTGGCAGGTGGTAACACTCCGCTGAAAGAAGTGCGTTTGATTCAAACACCACTGTTTTTCTATGCCTGCTGTTGGCCAATGGCATGCCATACGCAGTTAGGCGGGAAACAGCAGGCGCAGGCGACTCCGCATAAGGCGAGCACGGGCATCTGAAAGAAAAGTAAGAAAAAAAGGTGTCTCATAACAAAGCAACTCCGCGCTCCATTTCTCAACAACTCCGTGCTACACTTCTCAATTTATTTGCCGTGTACGAATGCCAGATTTAGCTGAGATGCTCGTAGCCGTGTGTATTGGTCAACGTACGCGTTTTTTTTTTCTCACTAAGTTCGAAGAGTGGTCTATGAATTGTTTAGCTAAAAGAACTTGAACTTGTCTTACATTTTTTAAAAACGCGTTCAAGAGCATAACAGGCACTTAAAGGCTTTTGCAGTGCCTGAACAGTTTGCATTACAGACCAATATATATATATATATATATATATATATATATATATATATATATATATATATATATATATTGTAATGATAATTGTAGTGGGTCATGCAAATCTCGGCACACACATTGTCAGTGCTAAGCACGAGACGCTCGGCCTGGACTGTCGCTGATTTTGCTAGCTAGGCCTACGCTCCTACCTGGTCTCGGATAACAGTTTTGACTGTCTCCGTTCTATATTATAATTAGTGGAGTTTGCGGGGTCTCCTTACAATCCTGGAGTTGCGAAGCCGGACTCTACCTGCTGTCATGACCACTGCACCTGCCACAAGCCCTCCTCCTATGGCTTCCCAGGCCATCGTGTGCTCCGGCACGGTCCGTCAGCGGGATCCTCCCATATTCAGCAGCACTGACGACCACGACGTTGACGACTGGCTGGCTACTTACGAACTCGTGAGTGTCTTGAACAAATGGGACGAAGCCACGAGACTGGCCACTGTCGGCATTTACCTCAGTGGCATTGCCCACTTACGGCTTCGGAACCATGAGACCAACGTTCCCACCTGGACAGCATTCAAAGCAAAGTTCAGCGAAGTCTTTGGTCGTCCTTCTGTCCACAAACTTCGTGCGGAGCAGCGCCTTCAGTCGAGATCTCAACTGCTTGGTGAGAACTTTACAAGTTACATAGAAGACGTCATTGACTTGTGCAAGCGCGTCGATGTGAACATGACAGAGGTGGACCGCATCAAGCATATTTTTAAGGGTATTGACGAGGACGCTTTCCAGATGCTCATTTCAAAAAGCCCTGCTACTGTCGCCCAAGTTACCGAGCTCTGCCAAAGCTATGATGAGCTCCGCCGGCAACGTCTCGTCACCCGCCGTGCTGTCCCACATCAGGAATCGATGTCCGGCTTAACTCCCTCGCAAGACCCCGTCCTCCTCTCGCAGATCAAAGATTTCATGCGCGAAGAAGTTGCCCGCCAACTCTCGCTCATCTCTGGCCTACCGGAGCGCAGTGCACCGCTTAGCCCTACTCTACGGACTATTATACGAGATCAAGTGTCTGAGGTCCTTCCTCCGCAGCTGGTGCCACCAGTCAATGCCCCATTGACGTACGCCGAAGCAGCAACACGACCATGACCACAGACGTTCCAAGCGCCGCCTCCACAGCCTGCTTCTGTTTATGCCGCCCAGCCGCCACGACCTCCAGTTCGCCGAGTCCCTAATCCATGGCGCACTGCCGACAACCGACTGATCTGCTTTTCGTGTGGTCTACCTGGGCACGTCGCACGTCTGTGCCGCCACCGCCCACTCCACTCACGTGAAAACCTACGTCCATACGAGAACGATTACACGTACACTCAATACACCCCAGACCCCGAATTGTACGCTCCTCGTCCAAGCCACCGACCAGCTCCTGATCGCCGATCTCCCTCTCCACGTCGACGCTCGCCCTCCCCGATGCGCCGACGCCCCCCTACAATCAACGCGGAAAACCAAATGACGCAGTTCCCGAGGCAAGAACTGCGTCCTCGTCGCAAAGCACAAGCCCTCTTCGTTCGCAGCCGAATGTAATTAATGCCGTTCTTGAAGGTGTACCCGTACTTGCCCTTATTGATACTGGTGCCGCAATTTCTGTCATCGCCGAAAAAGTTTGCCATTCAATTCGAAAAGTGACAACGCCTTACTTGGGTTCATGTCTTCATACTGCCACTGCACAGCCTGTGCAGCCTGTGGCCGCGTGTACTGCCAGACTCGTAATTCAAGGAGTGCCCTACACAGTCCATTTCGTAGTACTCCCGCACTGTTCTCATGACATCATTTTAGGTTGGGATTTTCTCTCGCATCACCAGGCCGTCATTGATTGCGCCCGTGCCGAAGTCGCCTTTTGTCCTCTTGGTGATGCGCTACCAGTGCACGATCGCCCTTCCGACGCGAAGTTGGTCATTAGTGACGACCCCCAAATCCCTCCACGCGCTACTGTGTTCGCACCTGTGTCGTGTTCCACCGTCGTCGACGCTACCGCATTCTTCACGCCTTCCGCTGCTTTCGTTCATCAACACCTATCACCACTCCCAACCGCTCTCGTTACTCTTCAAGGCGGTGCGACCAACATGCCTGTGGAGAATCCGTTCCCATTCGCGATTACGCTACTTCGAGGCGAATGTATTGGTTCGATAGAATCATTCGAAACCATCGCTACACTTGACGTTCCTGATGAATCATCGGAAGTCAGCGCCCTCTCCTGTAGTTCCGTGAATGACCCTTCCACTACCGACATTTTCAACCGTGTCATCGACGAAGGCCTAAACCCACAACAGAGGTGTGAGCTTTTGAGCCTCCTTGACAAGTTTCGACCATCTTTTGACAGTCACAGCGCTACTTTAGGTCGCACATCTACCGTATGCCACCAGATCGACACAAGTAATCACCCACCACTACGGCAGCGACCATACCGTGTTTCGCCAACTGAACGCAGTATCATCGATGAACAAGTAGGTGACATGCTAAAGCGAGGCGTCGTTTAACTGTCAAACAGTCCTTGGGCGTCGCCGGTTGTTTTAGTTAAAAAGAAGGATGGAAAGATACGCTTTTGCGTAGATTATCGTCGCCTAAACAAAATAACACGAAAGGATGTTTATCCTTTGCCTCGAATTGATGACGCCCTCGACTCTTTACAAGGCGCAGAGTTCTTTTCCTTCCTTGATCTACGCTCTGGGTACTGGCAAGTGCCCATGAATCCGGATGATAGGCCAAAAACTGCATTTGTTACACCAGACGGCTTATACGAATTTAACGTGATGCCATTCGGGCTATGCAATGCGCCGGCAACATTTGAGCGCATGATGGACACTATCCTACGAGGCCTCAAATGGAACACGTGTTTGTGCTGCTTAGACGATGTAGTGGTATTCTCGCCCGATTTTTCCACGCACCTTCGTCGCTTGGGACAGGTTCTACGCTGCCTCTCTGCAGCAGGCCTCCAACTCAACTTGAAGAAGTGTCACTTTGGAGCGCGCAAGCTGACGATTCTCGGACACGTAGTGTCGAAGAATGGCGTTCTTCCTGACCCCGCTAAGCTACGTGCTGTTCGCGAGTTCCCGAGGCCCGCGTCTCTCAAGCAGCTGCGTAGTTTCATTGGGCTTTGCTCATACTTCCGCCCCTTCGTCCGAGATTTCGCCTCGATCATGGCGCCTCTGACAGACCTACTTCAGGGAGACCGCAATCTATCTGCGTGGTCTCCAGCTTGCGACAGTGCCTTTGCGAAGCTCCGTGAACTGCTTACAACACCACCCATACTGCGTCATTTCGATTCAAGCGCTCCCACAGAAATCCACACAGATGCTAGCGGTGTCGGTCTTGGCGCTGTACTCGCCCAACGAAAGCCTGGTTACCAAGAATATGTTGTTGCGTACGCGAGCCGCACTCTTACAAGAACAGAAGCAAATTATTCGGTAACTGAGAAAGAATGCCTAGCGATTATCTGGGCCATTACAAAATTTCGGCCTTATCTGTACGGCCGCCCTTTCGATGTTGTTACCGACCACCACGCGCTCTGCTGGTTATCCTCCCTCAAAGATCCCTCAGGACGCTTGGCACGATGGGCTTTACGGCTCCAAGAGTACGACATCCGCGTCGTTTATCGTTCAGGCCAGAAGCACGCCGATGCCGACGCTCTTTCGCGTTCGCCTGTTTCTACTGATATTGCGAGTGTCTCCATCCAAGACAACTTCCTTCAACTATCAGGACCCATCAACATGGCTGCGGAGCAGCGCAAAGATTCGTGGATTGCGTCTCTGATGGATTACCTATCTGAAACACTCGCCCACCCGCCATCTCGAGCGCTACACCGACAAGCCTCTCACTTCGCCATCCGTGATGGAATACTTTATCGCCGCAACTACCACCCTGACGGTCGCAAATGGCTACTCGTCATACCCAGGCTCCGCGC